TGGTGTCCCTGTCACCTGGTTGGAATGCAGATCTTCTCATTYGTGATAAGATCAGGAGCAGACACAGAGGATTTCCTGTCTGCCGCCAGGAGTGTACTCACCACTTTACAAGACACGGTGTCCTAACTCACCCAACCCTCAGCTAGCACTAAAATGTTGGTTTAGAGATATCTAGCATATATTTTCAAAGTTCTCACATTAGTTTCCAACAGCTGGTACATTTAATGAGACAGATTTTGGATGGATGTATTGGTTAAATTTTAGGACTTAGGTTTTTTGCCAAAATAGAAAAAAGTRAAATTATGTGATTTCATAATTAAATTACTCACGAAAAATTCTGTTAAAGCTTCAGAAWTGATTAACTTCAGTGAGGAAATCCCATAAATTAAATATATGTTTTGTTTCTGCCTAAAGAGAAGTTAGATGGAAATCAGCAGCGTAACTTTTAACTTTTTCAGAGCTGCGTCCCCATTCAGGCGGGCCATTAATCTGCACATGAGCATGTAGTGTAAGTCTGTCAGCTGTTTGGACAGTCACGACTCCTCTCYGCCTGAGGAAAGGGCGGGAGCTTCAGTCAGGAGCAGGGCAGGGAAGGAAAACAGACCTCCCGACAACCAGGAAATCAATGGAATCCAGTGGGTCAAATTAGGGTCAAGAAGCCCAGCAGGAGGAAACGAAAGAGTAAAAGTCTCACTTTATCCACTGAAAATTCTTCTGTACACTTGGTTCTAGTCTTTTTTATTTTATCACYAACAAACCTAAAACAAAGGTGGAGATTCTTGATATTTTAAGCAGATAAAGGACACCAACAGAGTTTCTGACACATGCATGTCTTGGCGGCTTTTAAGTCCTGTAAAGGTGCAGGAAGCAATTGTATTTATAGAGATGTTCTTGATTTTTATCTTTAGTTTGGTCCCAAAAATAATCCGGAGGTATTTTCAGACACCCGGAGGTAGACAAACGAAGCATCACGACTACAAAGTAAAATCACCAAAATAGCCTGAGGTCCTTGCAAATCAGAGCGGCAGCAAATATGGTTTCAAGCTTTAATGCTTCAGATTTAATTAGTCTGTTTTAAAATCGTGCTTTATTAGAAATTTAGGTGTGTGTCGTACCAGATGGATTTCTTGCTTTAGAGATATACACTGCTCAAAAAAATAAAGGGAACACTACTGCTCAAAAAAATAAAGGGAACACTACTGCTCAAAAAAATAAAGGGAACACTTAAACAACGCACGCTAACTCCCGATCTTAATCAATGAAATATTCGCATTGAGTACTTTGTACTGTACAGAGTTGAATGTGCTTCACAAAAGTTTGATTTACTTGGAGTTAGYGTGCGTTGTTTAAGTGTTCCCTTTATTTTTTTGAGCAGTAGTGTTCCCTTTATTATTTTTTGAGCAGTGTATTTCRTTTTTAAAGGCTGGAAGAGAAACTGCACCATGTAGTTTTGTCATCTTTAAAGTACAACGAAGGGTCGTCAGAGGATCGATACACTTTTAGCCTCAGTTGGTCACTAATAAGAGAAATACAACATTACACTTAAACAGACTCACTTCTGTCCTGTTTTAAGCGTTTTGTAACCAGTATACTGTGTGTGTGTGTGTGTGTGTGTGTGTGTGTGTGTGTGTGTGTGTGTGTGTGTGTGTGT